TAAATAAAGACGGAAAATACATCAGCTGAAACTACTTCCCTAAATATCTGGTATTGGTTGCCAACATTACCGATACCAGAGCAGTTTTTTTTTTCAATTATTTTTTTTTAAATTAAATTTTTTTTATTTTTTTTTTTTTTGTGTTTTACAATAAAAAATACATATGAACACAAATTCTGATTGGATAAATATAAAAAACGATTTATTTTTTACAATTTTTTATTTTTTTTTTTTTTTCTTTTAATTTAATTTTCCTAGCTATTTTGATACACACCATTTTTTTTTTTATTTTATTTATTATTTTTTTTTTTTTAAAAGAAATCATAAGTATATATGTAAAAAAAAAATTAACGTGAAAAATTAATTGTATTTTAAAAATAATAGATATAAATAATTTAAAAATAAAAAAAATTAATCGAAAAAAAAAAAAAAAAAAAAAAAAAAAAAAGGATTTAAAAACCCCCTTAAAAAAAAAAAAGATTTAAAAATCTTTTTTTTTTAGAAAAAAAAATGATTATAAATAAACATTATCAAAATAATGGTTTAAAAAATAATAATAATAGAAACAATATTAATAATATTCAAGTTAAAAATAACAATATGTCTCTGAAAATTTATAGTGATACATGTAGCGATAATTATAATGCACAATATAATAATCACAATCATATTAATAATAATTTTTCAAATAAAATTCAATCACTCACAATTCAAGAATATGATCACAATAATGATAATAATAAATATAATAACAGTAATGATAAAATAAATTATAATAATAAAAATATTGAAACTAATATTAATTCCCTACCATCACCCCCTCAACACACAAAACAACCACATAACCACTTATCACAATCACACACAAACACACAACCACCAACACACACAGAAAATAATGAAAACAAATTTGGGGCTTCTATTTTTAAATCTATTAACGAAAATTATAATAATATAAATAATAATAATAATAACATTAAAAACTTCAATTTTAATGATAACATAAATAAAAATTTTTTTGAAAATAATATTAATTGTAAAAATAATAATTGTAATAATAATAATAATAATAGTAGTAATATAGCTGATATAAATAAAAATAATTTAAATAATAAAAAAAGTATAATAATAGGAAGTAGTTATAATTTAAAAGTTAATAATTATTTAAATACAAAAACAGATACAAATACAAATACAAATACAAATACAGATACAGATACAGATACAAATAATAATAATAATAATAATAATAATAATAATAATAATAATAATAATAATAATAATAATAATAATAATAATAATATTATAGATTGTGATAATAGTGATAGTAGTAGTGAAAGTAGTAGTGACAGTTTTACAAGTAATAGTGATAATTATTTATCATATGATTGTTATAGTGACTCAAGTAGTAGTTTAAATAGTAATAATTATCCAGCAAATAGTAGTAGTAATAGAAATACACAAATATTTACAAATATTAATTTTAATAAAAATAAAAATCAAATGAATGAAACATTAAATATTGAATCATTAAATAATTATTTTGTAAATTATTTTCAGGATTCATTAGATATAGAACTTGTTAAAATTCATTTAAATAGTGGTTATTTTATTGCTGGTTCAAATTGTAGTGGTAGTTTAGAAATCATACTTAATAATGATATAAAGACAGCTGGTATCAATTTAAAGTGGAAAGCATTCGAGCATGTTATAGTCTGTCAATCCAATACAAAATCATCAAATAGTATATCAAAAGATCCATCCTTTGAAATTATTGATGCCTCATCTATGGTCTCTGCATATAGTTTAAAAGAAAGTAGTAGTTCAATTACAAGTGGAAAGGGATCAACTATCTCAAAATCAAGTACAATTGCAAAGAATTTAAAGGTTTTAAAATCCTTAAAGAGTGGTGTAAACACAATTAAAAATAGTGGTAGTATCAATAGCTTTTTAAAGATCTCTTCCTCCTCATCCTCATTCAACCTACAAAACCACTATGGCATTCAAAATAATGAAAAATGTCAACAAAAGAAAATCATTTATAAAACTACAGAAAATATTTTCAATACTGATGACACTGATGGTATTATGGGTGCCGGCACTCATATCATCCCATTCAGCTTCCCCATCCCATCCCATTTACCAAGTTCTTTTTGTGACTATAGCTTTGATAAAGAAACAGGTGAAAAAATCATTTCTGCAGTCCTCTACCGTTTATCTGTATCATTTGTAGAATCAGTTCAACAGTTTAAATTAAAGAAATCATTTTCAGTTTGCGAGCCATCTATCGTATCAGCAAGTGTAAATGAAATACCATTAAAGAGTGAAAAAAGAAAATCATTCATTGGCACCTCTGGTTTTGTGCATCTTAAAGTTTTCCTAAAGAGAAATGTCTTTTTCCCAGGAGAAAAGATACCCATTCAAATTAAAATTGAAAATTCAACTTCAAAAAGTGTCGAATATGTTCAAGTTTCAATAAAGAAGATTCAAACTCTTTTATTAAACAAAAGTGATTTCTTGAACAGCGCTTTAAATCACAGTGGTAGTATTGACAAGGATTCATTATTAACAATAATAGACGACAAGGACGTAAATGATTTGGATTCAGTAGATGAAAATGAATCTACCATATCAGATTTCAACAATAAAAACCATGGCCATCACAATGCAAATGGAAATGTAACAGTAGTTAGCGATGGTAAAGATGGTAAAAAAATATGTAAAAAAACTTCAATCAAAACTCTTCAAAAATATGGTGGATGTTCATCTCATTCCAATTATAACGAAGTAATATCATTTAACACTGACGAAATTAAATCATGTAATCAAACTACAAATGGTTCTTTGATCAATTGCAAATACGAATTAATTATTCAATGTGTTATAAAAAGAACATTGCATTCAGTAAGAACTAAAGTACCAATATTATTTGGTAATTTACCTTCAAATGATGCATCAACTTCAATTTTTGAAGATGAATATAAATTATATTTATTAAATATTTAACATAATAATAATAATAACAATAATAGAAAATTAAAAAAAAAAATTATTTTTTTCAGTAATATACAGCAATTTTTTTTTTTTGTTTTCAAAAAGATTTTAATAAAATAATTTTTAATATTATTTATTTATTCATTAAAAAAAAAAAAAAAACACACCACTTTGTTATGATCACCCCATCACAAAAAAATATCTTTTTTTTTTTTTTTTTACCCATTTTTATTTTTCTTAATAATACAATTCAAATTTATTAATTTTATTATTAAAATAATATATTATATTATTTTTCATTTTTCATTTTGATTTTTTCTTTTTTATTTTTTTTTTTAATATATTTTTTTTTTTTATACAAACCCCATTTAAAAGTGGTTTTTTTTTTTGTTAAAAATTTATTGGGGGTTTTTTTTTATGGGGCAAGGCTCCGCTCCTGTTACAAATATTACTTTCAAAGAAAAAAAAAAATTTTAAAAAAAATTAAAAAAAAAAAAAAAATTTCATTATTTTTTTAATTAAAATTTTATTTTTTCAAAAGATTTATTTTAAATTTATCAAGAAAAAATAAAATTTTAAGGTGATAAACAAGATTTCATTAAAAATATAACCAATCATTTTTAAAAAAATAAAAAAACACATTTACCAAACACGTGAAATTTTTTTTTTTTCCTCAACCCCACTTTTATTATTTTAAATTTAAATAAATAAAATTTAAATTTTTTTGTGAAATGGATTTTGATTTATTAAACATCAATGATGCAAATTTAATTTTTTTCTTTTTTATGAATAGATTAAATCACAAAAAAATAATATCAAAATTTTTTTTTGTAAAAAAAAAAAAGTTTGATGGTGTTTTTTAGTGCAAATATCAATTTATAAGAAAAATTATTTAATCAAATTTTGGGAAAGCTGTGTTTTAGTAATGATGAAGCTTTGATTTTAAAAGTAAAGGGCCAATCATTTTACAGCACCCAGATTAAAAAAAAAAAATTACAGTCACTATTGATTTTTTAAAAAAAGTTTTGTGTATTTTTTTATAATTTATTTTTTATATAATAAAATAATTTTTTTTATCTTCCAAAAAAGGGGGTTTGTTTATTAAAAATAAGAAAATCAAGAGGTTGGAAATGTAAATATGGCAAAAAAAAAAACCACCAAGATATTACTTTATTTTATTTAATTTTTTTTTTATAATTTATTATATATTTTTTTAATTTGTGCATTTTTAAAAAAAATATTTAAATGCAATTTTTTTTCATTTTATAATCAATTTCAACAATCAAATAAATAATTTATTAGTATCTAATTCTTTCTTTAAATAATATTCAAAATAAAATGTCACAATCACTTACCGGTTTAGTCCATTTATTAGCTAATGCTCAATGCCACCTTAGAACCAGCACCAATTGGGACGGTAACCACACCCAAGCCAATGCAGTTTTAAATTATCAAAACAGCAAAGATGCTAGATTCGATGGTTCAGAAGCATGGTGTGCCTCAGTTAACGATACTAATCAATTCATTATTGCTGGTTGTGAAGTACCAAGAACCTTTGTTGCCCTTTCAATTCAAGGTCGTGGTGATGCTGGTAAGTTTTTATAAAATTATTAATTTGATTTATTATATAGTTTAAAGTAAATACTTATAAATCTTTTTTTAGACCAATGGGTTACCTCATACAAAATTAGATACTCCTTAGACAATGTCACCTGGGTTGACTATAGAAATGGTGCTGCTATTCAAGGTAGTACTGATCGTAATACAGTTACCACTCACTTCTTCGATACCCCACTTAGAGCTCGTTCAGTTGCCATTCACCCACTTACCTGGAGCGGTCACGTTTCATTAAGATTTGAACTCTACACCCAACCAACCCTTTCAACCTTCACCCAAATTGGTCATGTTGATTCAGGTGCCAATGGTGTCTTAAACTCTGGTACTGGTGCTCGTGAAATTGTTGTCCCAGTTACTTTCCCAGTTACTTTCAGCAAAGTCCCAGAAATTGCACTTACTTTTGACTTAATTGATTCAACTGCTGATGAATCTAACCAAGTCCGTGTTGAAGTTGAAGCAAGAAACGTCACCGCTAAATCATTCGAATGTGTCTTCAAGACTTGGTGGCACTCAAAGGTCTACTCTCTCAGAGGCGACTGGACTGCCTCAATCAACGAATAAGCTAATTGAATTTTTAAATGATTCATTTAATTTTTACATATTCAATAAAATTGTAAATTATAAAAAAAAAAAAATACATATTTTTTATTTTCTTTTTCATTATTATAAATATTTTTATTTTTTTTAATATGAAGATAAAAAATACTTTAAATAATTTTTTAAAAACAAATCTTATATATTGTATATTTATTACATTTATTTTCAACGATTATTGAAAATAATAGAGGGAAGGGAAAAAAAAATTTTTATTTTTTTATTTTTTATTTTTTTTATTTATAAACTTGATAAATCTAAATCGACATTACCTTGTTTAATTTTCTCAAAAATGAAGGCAACTCCATTAACACCATCTGGTAATTTATTAATCTTTCTTGGTGGACCATAGTTTTTACCGGGATGAGGAAACTCCACTGTGATATTGGTTTCTGATATAATTGGAGATTTATCTACATTTGATGATAGCCAATCAAAAACATTTGGCATTTCAATTGTTAAAATTAATAATTCTAGATATGAATAAAAAAGAATTAATAATTTATTAAATATATTAATAATAATATTACTAAAATAAATATTTACCTTTTTCAAAAACAAAAGTATTTACTGGGAGACTCTTTGTAAAAAATGGATAAAATATTAATAAATTTTTTTCAGTTTCATATTTGAAAAAACTGTTTTTGTTTGGATTCACTAAACTATGGCCATTTAAAATTGATGACGCATATGTGTTTAATGTTGAGCTGCTAATGTTTAAATTGTTACTTATTAAATTGTTATTACTGGTATTTATAAATGGGTTTGTTTTACTATTATTATTGTTTTTTGCTAAATTTAATCTACAATTGATTGGTATTGGTTGGGTAGTGGTGGTAGTGGTAGTGGTTGTTGTTGTTGGGGTTAGTGATGTTGATGATATTGATGATGGATTTGAAAATGTTTTATTGTTCTTTAAAGAGTAGTTGTGATTTGTTGAGTAATAGTCAAATTGTAAGAATGAATTTTCTTTTCCAATTGTTGTAGTGTTAGAATCGTCCTCGTCGTCTTCGTCGTCAAATTCAGTGTCTGAATCTATATAGGTTTCTTTTTTATAAACTTTTGCAGGTTTTTCTCTTGTTTGGATTCTCTTTTCGACCTTATCAGAAGCCTTATCGATTCTAGCTTTTTCTAATGCACTTAATTTGTCTCTTTCACGAGTACGGTTTGGTGTTATAATGGTTGATGTAGTAGTACTATGTGATATTATATTGCTATTATTGATACTATTACTTAAATTGTTTATATTGTTGGTACTGCTATTAATACTATTTGTTAAATTTGTTTGTGAGAGGATTGGGAAAACTTGGGATGTGTTTGTGGATTTTGAATCATAGTTGATTAAGTTCTGGGCATTTTCTTGTAATGTTCCTAAACTTCTACGATTTATTAATCTGGCACTACTGGGTCTACGCGATGGTCCAGGAGTTGAGGTCCCATTATTGTTATTTATTAAATTTGTTGAGGATATATTTGATTGTGGTGATTGTGGTGATTGAGAGGCACTTAATGATAAAGATGTATTGATATTATTGGATGAATTGCTTAAAATATTGCTACCAATTAAACTGGTTGTTGAGGTGTTTGCTGAAATGAGACCACTTGGATCGTCATCTTCATGCTCTGATGAAGAATATTCAGAGTCTGAATGTGATGCTAAAACAACACTTGAAAGTCTTCCTTTTTTACCACTTCTAAGACTATCTGTATCTACATTTTCTGCAATACCTAACTCTAATTTTGCCTTTTTAATTGTTTCAGAGTCTGGATGTGATGGCACTAAACCTCCTTTCTTTAATGCACGTACTTTGTCATATATTTGTCTTTCAGAGTATTTTCCATCTTTAAAAGGTTTGAATGTTAAAATGGTTCTAACGTCTTTTCCAAAAAGTACAACAAGGTCACATAAAACTTTAACTTCTTCGTCTGGGAATTTTGTACGTTTTCTTTCGCCTCTTCCCCTAGTCTTTGTGGTTGTAGATGCAGTTGAAATATTTGATAAAATTAAATTTGATGAGGATGTATTATTAATTTCATCTTTATTTTGACCAAAATTTGAATTTATAATTTGATCACCATTACTTAAATTATTAATATTATTACTACTACTATTTATATTATTGTTAATATTATTATTATTATTATTTATATTATTACTACTATTCATATTATTACTTATATTATTGGAAAGAGTTGAAATTGATAGGCTTGAGGTTGTTGGAGTTGTATTATTTGATAAATTTAACATTGTTGCTCCATTTATTATATTGTTCCCACCTATTGTTTCGATTGGAATTCTGTTTCCCCCACTGTTGCCAGAATTATCGTTTGACATTGATATTGTTGATTGACTAATTAAATTTGGTGATTCGCCACTATTATTTGTTATACCACTATTGCTTATTCCGCCCCACTCATCATTCATTTGGTCATATCCTCTTTTATTTAAATTATTTCCGCCCATAATTTAATTTAAAAAAAAAAGCCAAACTGTTTTTTTTTTTCAAAAATTAAAAAAAAAAAAAAATGAAAATTGGATATTAACAAAATAAAATAAAATAAAATAAAATAATAAGTTGGTAAATGTAAAACTATAAAATAAAAAACACTGTTTATATTGATTTAGTTTTATTGATAAATTGTGTTATTTTTGAATTAATTTTTATTGTTTAAAAACAATACTAATTAATTGTTGAATAAATTGGTGAAAATGATGATGATTAACTGTATTTATAAAAATAAAAAAATATAAAAGAAAATATATAAAATATATTTTTTATAAATCTTTATTTTATAAGGGTGAGAAAGAAAAAATTAATAAAACAATTATTAAATTCTGTGTTTAATATTTATAAAAAAAAAATTGGAAATGTGAAATATAAAAAAATTTTGTAATAAATAAAAAAAAAAAATAAAAAAAATAATAGTGTGGTATTTTTTTTTTTTTTCTTTATTGGTTGTTGTTTTTTTTTTATTAATATTATAAAAATGTTATATTAAAAAACTTTTTTTTAAATTTTTAATTTAATTTATTTTATATTTTTTTTTTTTTATTTCTAAATTAAACTATATTGAAATTGATCAGATAATTATAATTATAGTTTGTGTGTTAAAAAAAGAAAAATATGAATAAAAAAAACACACACATACACACACTCACACACCAAAACAGAAAAACACAAACACTTTATTATTATAGTATATATAGTGCAGTATATATGAATAAAATATAATAGGTATTTATAAAAATATTTTTAAATACTTAAATATTTTAATATTTATTTAACAAAACAAATTTATATACATGCAAGATAAAATTTACAATTTGTGAAAAAAAAAAAAATAATGGAATAATATAAAACAAAATTTTTTCTATTTTTTTTTATTCTTTTTTTCTTCCCAAATTAAAATTAATTTTAATTT